GGAGCCGCATGGGGAACAGCTGTTCTGCGGGGCGGGGTCACATCCTCCCGGGGTAGATCAGCTGCTGTGATTTACACCCGCCTGCGCCCTTCCCCTCCCGCAGCAGCCCCTTGCTGGGTTCCTTTCCCCAGCCCTCCCGGGCCGGGCAGATCGCAGGCCCCCACCCACCCATTCCAGCCAAGCACCCAGTGCAGGCCGGCCAGCAACGCGCCTGTCTCCCGCGCCCATCCCGCTCCGCGCCAAGTGCCAGGTCAGCAAAACGCTTCTGCCTGGTTTGAATGGAGACCCTGGGACCGCTCCGGGCCCTTCGTGAAGCCGGGCTGCGCGCGGAGGCTGCTTCGCTTTGACCCATCCCCGCTGGCGCTCGCTAGTCGGTCCCAGCGCTGCGCAGCTCACCCCGACGGACAGCGGCCACCCGAGCGCTCCAGCACTGCAGCGGACGGCGCAGGTTGTGCGCACAGCAGTGCAAGGGGCTAGAGATGGGGCTAGCAAGGCGCAGGCCTGGGTGACGATGGATAGCCCTGGGGTCACTGGGGCTCACCGCGCCTAGGACCAATGACGCTTTCCACGCCAGCGCGATCCCCGCGGAAGCGTGGCGAAGGGACTTGTGCCGTTGGGTAGGCAATCATGATTTGATATGATCCCAAACTCCATCGTGGGCCTCAGCCCTTCTGACCGCTCCCTCTGCCCTTCCCTTCCCAGCCCCAAAAGCGAAACGTGGGAGCGTAATGCGGCGCCGGTGAGTTTCTCATCATAGCTAGATTCCCTGTAGAAACATTAGAGGGGGAATCTATTACTCCTCCATTAATTGGATGCTGAGAGATGATTGTGCCTCCGTATTCTTTGTATGTTTTAAGGCATCAAACTCAATTAAAATGTATTCACAAAAGGGAATTGATCTACGCTGGGAATGGCGAATCCCTAATCTCTTAAAGGGGCAACATCCTAGAAACTGGGAACAGATCAAACATTCGGGACTCATCTCTGCTCTCAGTTCCACGGGTGTCAGTCAGGACTCACTCCCGTGCCTGTAACGAATTTGTGTCGGAGTCATTCTGAAGATCAGACTCCGAGCCATGTTGCCCTTCGTTCTGGGGAGATTTCCTCCGTTCTTTGTCTTGGCCGGTTTCATGGCCGCGGGTCGCTTGCTTCCCGCAGTGCAGCCGAGAAAGCCGAGACGCCGGCAATGGCTGAAATGGTGGCCCGTGTCTGACGGGCCGAACGACCGCTCTTGGAAGCGGTTTGTGAACTTGCTTTAGTACTGACTGTGCCCTGGCTCGTTACACGGAACACGAGCGTGGCTCGAACCTAGGACTGTCGAGTATCCTCGCTGTTCCGTGGCTGTACGTACAAACGTGGGTACACAGGGCGTGTGTGTGTGTGTGTGTGTGTGTGTGTGTGTACAAACGTGGGCGGCTGGGTCTGAGCCTCGCGGGGCCACGTGGAGGCCCCAGGGGACAGCTCCAGCCCAGTCCCAGGCAGGGCGGGGTGCGC